ATTTGCCTACTGTGGGAACCTCATATAAGAGAAATAATGCAACATTTTTCTCAAAGTTCTGCCCACTTATTTTAGCATCCATTGATGGCTCCTGCCTATAATCTTTATTATGTTCTAATGGTGATTTTCCATTTCCTATTCCTTCTTTTCATCTGCTTTTAAAAGCACTGAAGTCTTCCTTTGATTCACTAAAAGAACAACCAGTCCAGTTTACTCTAATTCTTGAAGAGACAGAATTAGCAGAGAGCTGTTTAAATTGCTGTTTTCTGGAAGAGAGGAGTAGGCCTATTCCAGGCTTGTGCATCAGGACCAGTTACATAATCTGCAGGGTACAATGTTTAATGAAAATGTGGGGTCCCCTTGTTTAGGAATTTCAAGATGGTGACAGCAAAGCAGTAAACCAGCTGCAAAGCCCTTCTGTGCCCTGTGCTACTGCATAGCCGTGAAGCCAATCTTCTTGTGCAATTTTCCCTAGCTTCTTGGGACCACTCACCTACTTGCTTAGTTTGCAGAATCCTAAGAACACGCAGCTGTGTCTGAGGGTGGGCCATCTCTAGAAATCTCAGGGAGACCCCCTTCACTCTGTCGTTCCCAAGGCAATCAGGAACATAAGATTATTCTTATTCTGTGTAAGTCTTTCTTTCCCAGCTCCATTCAGATGGGAAAGAGACTCACTGCCCCTCTTTAACTGGCCCAGCACTAGACTAACTACAATCCCCATCTCAGACTAGGCTTCTAGTCTGAGAAATCCCAGAGCAGAAATCCATCAGCTCCCAGACTCTTACCACAATGGAGGTCAGGTCCTCACTCTCAAAGCGGCTGATAGCCTGGTCCAAGGATTTATACATGGCGGCAGAGATACGCTGGGTAATGAGTCTGTTCAGGTCAATTGACCTACCCAACAGCTGGATGAAGAGAGAGAGAGAAAAGTTACTTAATATTCACACTGGGCAGGTGCAGTGGCTCATGCCTATCATCCCAGCACTTTGGGAAGCCAAGGTGGGAGTGAGACAGCCAGGTGGGGGGCAGGGTCCCTGAAGAAACTCCAACCAGCCTGCCCACTGAGATGGAGCCTCAGGAAGTTCATGATGTTTGCAGCAGGGAGGAGCCTGGCCACTCCTCTTCCAGTGTGGAACCTGGGATTCCAATGGCCTAATGGGAAGTGCTCTAGCGGGAAGCGCACTAGCAGAGGGACTCTGGCCTTGTGACTGTCCCTGTTTCCCTACTTTTTTTACTTTTCACCTAATAAAACCCTGCTTTATCCACCCTTTAAACTGTCTGCAAGCCTAAATTTTCATGTCCATGGGACGGACAAGGACCCTGTCTTTAGGCGAACTAAGGAAAAGTCCCGCAACAGGAGGATAGCTTGAGCCCAGGAGTTTGACACCAGCATGGGCAACATAGTGAGACCGTGTCTCTACAAAAAATTTTTAAAAAGGCCAGGTGTGGTGGTGTACACCTGTAGTCCTAGCTACTTGGGAGGCAGGAGGCCCGAAGACAGCTCGAACCCAAGAGTTTGTGGCTGCAGTGAGCTATGATTGCACCACTGCACTCCAGCCTGGGTGACAGAGACAGACCCTTTCTCTTAAAACAAACAAAAAAAGATTCACACTGACAACCTGACAACTATGTGCATGCACTGATAGGAAATTGCATTAAAATTATAAAGGACATAACTGGGACAGTTTCTATTCTGATTTTATAAGAGAATGTCCTTGTTATTAGGAGATACAGGCTGAAGCATTCAGGGGTGAAATGTCATATTTGGCAACTTAAACTCTCAAATAGTTAAGAACAGCAGTATGTATATTCATCACACACATACACACTGTATAAGTGCTAGAGAGAAAATACATACATGAGAGAGAGAATGTGAACAAAATATGGTAAAAGATTAATGCTTGCAAATCTGGCTACAGGGTAAATAAGTATTCATCGTATTATTCCTTTGACTTCTCTGTAGGCTTGAAATATAGGAAGTTTAGGAAAAATATGATTCATTCAGGCTGTGGGAAGGGGCTCCAGGTAGACTCTGGCTTCCCATAAATGTTGCTGTTGGCATCCTAAATCTAGCCCTGAGATTCTTCCTGCATCTTTCCTGTGCTCAATTCAGTCACCAGGGCACAGCAAGCGCCTCAACAAGGGCCCACTTTGTGCCTTCAGGAGGGAAAATTTAAAATCAAGAGAATGAAAGTCTGATTACAGGATGGAAAATATAGCTTAAGGTACTTTCTGCTGGGGTACACGCAGGCTTTACTGCAGATGTTACGTAGAGGGCAATGAACATTTGTCGAGTACCTGCTGTGTCCACAGTGCTTTGCTAGGTACCAAACGATTATTCTTAAGTGTTTTATTTTTTCTACTTCTCTTTTGGCTTGAATTTTCTACCAACCAACTAGAGCCCCTTATAGTCATCTCATGCACACATAAAGCCCTCAGTATTTAATATCCTGTGGCTAATTCTGGCTGCATTGTAACGGATAGCAGTAATCTTCTGAGAAGCTGAAGGAAAAGCTCTCATTGAGCCCCTGCTGTTGGCAGAAGTAAAGATTCTATTTTTCCCCCTCTTAACGATTCTCCATTTCCCTTGGATTTCTCATAGCAAGGGGAATATCCATATTTGAGATGAATCCTTTGCTTTTTGCCTCTGGCATGGTCTTAGCCTCAGCCCAGCCCTTTCACAAAGACCAGGACCACATAGTAGCACACGGATATCACAGCATAAAGGCCATTTTGCCACCTGCTTGGCCCACAGCAGGGCTCTGGGAGGAGGGCTCGACATCTGCCCGGCCATCTCTTCTGTTGTCTGTCTGCCTCACATTAACATTGTTAAATGGGGACGTTTCTCAGTTCCTAGCAACGTTTCCTCTCTATCCAGGGTCAAATGCTAATAGAAACCAACTCTGCACACACACAAAAAAACAATTTCCACCATGGATTTGCCCTGATATGCTTTCCTTTCAAAAGCACCACCATCTTCCTCATTTAGAGCAGCACTTGGGCCCTGTTCAGGGGCAGATTTACCCATCTCTGAGCGGCAGCCCCAACTGAAAAAAGTGAGCTGCAGCTTATGATGAGAAGACAAAGGCTTTGATTGTCATGACTTGTGAGAGGTCGGTTATAGATGGATAGAGAAGCCCAGGACTTGAACCAAAGGAAGCCCAATGCCCCCGTACTGTTTGTGAGATTCTGAGGCTGTGCTTCCTGACCTCAGAAGCCCGCACTGGGCATGCAGGGCAGACAGTACCCAGGCCTGATTTCTGATCTCTATGCTGACTTCGCAGCTGCTCTCTCCTGCCCCTTTCATCTCCATGGTGGCTGCCTCTCACCATACCTGGACGTGTCTCTGCTTCAGCAGTGTTTCATAGCGATTGGACGGTGGATATGGAATGATAACTCCATAATTCTTACATTCAGCTCGAAAACGTTTATCCAACAGGACACTGGAAAGGATAAAAGTTAAACAAGACCAGTAAACAGACAGTGAATGACTCTCAACTGCCCAGGTACATCTATTTCAGACCATGGGATCTACCCACAGAGCATTAGCTTATGTATCTTAAGCAGAATTGTTTTCTGCTCTAGACAAGTTTCTTCAAATTTCTTTTCAGTCACAGCAGCTCAATATGTGAAACGGAGTTTCTGAGTTAAAGATGGGCAACAAAGAAGTTGAGCCACTTTCCTCTTATTTATTTACCACAAAACCAATTGAGTGCATGCTTGGTGTATCCCAGGAAACATTCTGGGCACTGGGAATACAAAGTTCCTGTCCTCATAACGCTTATATTCTAGTGAGGAAAGACTGATAATATAAACACAAACAGAGGAATGAAAAAATTTCAGATAATAGGTAAGAGTTGCATAGTGTTTATTATTTCCCAGGCACACACACACACACACACACACACACGTCATTTTAAATCTCACCACAACCCTATGAGCTGGGAGTGTTATTATCTCTCACACTGAGGCATGGATTGCCGAGTACCAAGTGTCTTGAAAATAATAAAATGGGACCATTTGGAGTTAGGAAGTCAGGCAAAGTCTCTCTAAAGAAGTTTTGCTAAACAGAGACCTGAATGATAAAATTGGAAAGATCCAGAGGAAGACTATCATTGACACAATGAGCTTGGTTATGTTTGAGAAAAGGAAAGACAGCCAGTGTGGATCAAGTACAGGGCAGGATTGAGGGCATGGTGCAAGGTGAATTTATAACATCAGACCAGGGGCCAGGCCAGGTAGGGCCATGCAGGCCATAGTGAAGAGGCTAGGTGTATCCCAGACATAACTAAAAGTCATTTAAAGGTTTTATGCAAGAACGAGACATCATCTAAATGTACATGTCCAAAGTAGTAGCCACCAGCCACATGTGCCTACTGAACACTTGAGATGTGGCTGGCCCAAATTGAGACGGACTGTAAGATACACACTGGATTTTGAGGACTTAAAAAAAAGAAAAAGAAAAATCTCTAATAATTTCTATATTGAGTATAAGTCAAAATTACAATGTTTTGGATATGGTTGGGTTAAATAAAATATATTATTAAAATTAATTTCACCTGTTTCTTTTCCTTTTAAAAATATGTCTACTAAAAAAATTAAAATAACATCTCTGGCTCACATTTGTGGCCAAATGGCATTTCTAATTAACAGGACTGACCTAGCTCATTGTTTTCCTCCTTGGCTTTCTCCAGATCTCTCAACCTCCTCAACTTCCCATACTTTAAAAAAATCACTGATCTTACAGGGAAGGGTGTACATAAAAGCCCATATTTCACATGAAGGAAGACCCAGGGTTCGACACGCCTGAGTCTGTTTATATAGATGATGAAACAGCATATTTGGAGTCAGAATTGTCTTATAGAAGCCAGAAGCCCAACTCACTGTTACAACCACATCCCATTCAATCCACAGATGCCTATTAAGTGACTACTTTGTGAAAGTAGTGTTCTCTGCTTCCTCTGAAATCCTACATGCATGATTTTTTTTTTCTTTTTATTAAAAAAAGAAAAAAATAACCTTTAATCAAAAAGTCTGATTAAATTCAATATTAATGCAAACTCTTAAATATTTTCTGGAAAAGTCAACAGGGTGCATCATAGAAAAGCAGGCAGCTGCTAACAGTTATCTGGTGGAAAAGTAAGTTGCAGACTTACCCGAGCTGCCCAAATGATTATCAAGCCAAGTTTGTTTTTCAAAAATAGGTTTTAAAATATACCAAAGAAACTATACAAAAATTTAACAATGAAGTTAAAGCATATAGCAAAAAACAAATATGACAATACACATGAATAATGTATAAAAGAAGCCTTTCGATCCTAGAAAACTAAAATCAGGAGAACTTACTGAAGGGTAACAAACATAAACTGAGGACTAATAGCAAGGAATAATCCTAAACGTTTTCCCAATGACTGACTAAGCCTCAAAAAGACAGCTTAGAAAAACAATTAACATGTAGTTTTTTTTCCTAGCCAATTCAGTTAATTTAGATAAATCTGGTGACCAGTCAATGCATATATAAGTTAATTTCTTTCTACTCAATTACTACCATTTTTTTCTTTTTCACCTTTCCCCTAATTTCCTCTGGCAACACTTTTCCTTTGGTTTGATCAGCTGAACTCAAAAGGTTTGGTACCTAAAATGAGTATCAACTCTTATTGGAACAGTACTTGAGAAATGCAATCCTAGAAAAGGCAAATGTTTAACCGAGGGCCTGACAAAGTTAAGCGTCCATTCTCCATAGGACAATGTCTCCATGTTCACCACTAGGTTAATGGCTGCGCTTGGCTAGATCACATGACCCTGCATGATAGTGGAATGCTCCCTGGCAAGGTACTGCAGGTGTGTGCACAAACACCCACCCATTTAAGCTTTTAATAAATACAAAGCATCATTTTAAACAATTTCAGTGGAATAAACTAAAAATATTGCATTTCTATTGGCCTGCTTTGCTTCTTAAGCTGGCTTGGAGTGTTGTCCGTGACACATAAGTCACAATAGTTAATTACTGGCTACTCCAACCTCTTCAGGCTTCACCACTTCTCGCTCTTCAAGCCTCAGCACCTTTTTTGCAGCAATAATGGTATTCTTCATTAGCATTGCCACTGTCATGGGGACAATACGTCCAGGAACTGGAGTGATATAACCAGCTTTTTGTCTGACTCCTTCAAAATCCACATCTCCAACCAACTTGGGTTTGGCAGTTATGGGATCGTGAACTCTATTTATTCCCACATCAATAACTGCTGCTCCTTCCTTGATCATATCTGCTGTGATCAGATTTGGAATGCCTGCAGCGGATATTACAATATCTGCAAGAATTGTATGCTTCTTCAACTGCTGTTTGGGAGTGTATCGATGAGATATTCTAACAGTGGCATCACCTCTGGGATGTTCATGTGCCCTGTCTGTGTGCAGTAACATTGCAATGGGCATTCCAACATTTTTTAACCCTCCAGCCAAGCACATTCTTCCAACTGGGTTGGAATGCCAGTTCGCTTAATTATTTCCCACACACCCCATGGAGTAGCCGGTAACATGGAATCCTGGTCCAAACACATTCGCCCTACATTAATTACATGACATCAACATCCCTGTCTGGAGAAACAGCATTGCAGATCTTTCTCTCGTCAATATGCTCTGGAAGAGGCAGTTGAACAAGGAGGCCATCTATGTTATCATCATTATTTAGTTTATTGATTAAATTCAACAATTCTTCCTCTGAAATTGAAGCCGGTTTCACAACTGTCTCCCTGTTGATTCCCACATCTGCTGCTGCTCTGGTTTTGTTGAGGACATAGGTGTGATTGCAGGATTCTGGACAAAGAGGATCATGCTCAGGTGTGGCCGCTTATTGCCTGAGGCCACCCACTCTTCCACCTCCTGCTGTCCTTCCTGGTTGATCTGCTGGGCCAGTTTCCTTCTAGAAATGACCACGGCTTCATTTCGAACTGCCACGAGGTAGAAGGGGCGAGGGTGGAGGGAGCATCTGTGCACAGACTGCAGCAGTCGGGCAGCCAACATGGACATGAGCGAAGGCGCAGGCATAGCCCACGCCAGTGACCATGCCGGGTGGGCCCTACATGCATGCTTTCTATACTTTGCAGCCTGTAAGAGTCACGTTGTTGAATGCACAGCCTATGTTAACAGAAACTTGGGTGTGCGGCACATCAACTCCTATTTGAAATATATAAGGGCTACTCTGGCTGCTAAAAGCAAAATGAGGCAAATCCTTTTCACAGAAAGAAAATTTATTAAGGAAAGGAACTATCCTTGGAATTACTGGTTGATATGTTTGGATTTCCAATAAGAATGGAAATAGCTATATATAAAATTTGAGGTTTTCCTTATCTGTGCTATTACAGGTTCTTGAAATGCAAGAACTCGTGAGGGTTGAAATCAACATATACTGGCAATACCCAGGAGCCTCTAAGCCAGACACATCTCTGATCCAGACTTCTTCACTGACCTCATCTGATTTGCACATACCCATTCTTCTCCAATTCATTCTTCACGCATTTATATTTTTAAGGGAGTAAACTTTCAAAAGCAAATAAAAATCGAATCAGGTCACTGTGGTACTTTTGAAACCATCTGGAGGCATTCCACACCTAGCAGAAGCGGCTACAAAACTGGTGTGCTCTGGCCATGCCCACCTCCCCAGCCACATCAGGCAGTGCTGCCCCCTCGTGGTGGTGAAGAGACACTGACATGTATGAATCCCCAGGGATCCTCCCACAGCCCTGGGAGGTTGGCATGCTGTTCTCATTATACTCCCGCCACAGGGGCCTTGCGCAAGCAGCTCCTTTCGCCTGCAACTTCCTGCCCCATCCTTCACCTAGTTTTACTTTCTTCACTCGTACCAACTTCGGATAAGAACTCAGACACCACTTCCGCAAGATATGGCCTTTCTAGTTCCCCGCCCCAAAGGTTTAACTGTTCAAATTTAACTGTCATATGTTCCCATGAGCTTTTGCCTCTGAGAGAGCATCTAACCTCCTTGTCACTGTGCATTCATGGGCTGTAGTCAATGTCTGTCTTTCCTGCTAGACTGCAGGCTGTGTGAGGTTAGCGCCCTATCTGCCTAGTTTCCTTTCCACTCTATTTCAGCACCCAGTCCGGGCCCGTAGAATGTCTGTTTTCTTCAGGTGCTAAAGAATAAGGAAGGTTTCACAACAGAAAGTCACGTCTTCCAGGTGGCAGCCTTAAGAGATCGGTACTCACAGCTCTAGGGCTTTCCTACCTGCCGGCCATGGCTTTGTAGTAAGCAAAGATCTGGTCTGCCAGCTTGTAGACAAACTGATCAAAACACAGGTTCACCTGGTAGAGAGGAAGCAGGAAACATTACTGGTGCCCATTCAGCTTTTTCACAGAAACTCAGCCAACTGAAAGAGGCCAGTCCCGCAGGACTGCCCAAAATGCATTCTGGGGAAAGACACTTTGAAGGGGAAAAAGAAGATTCTGTGGCTAATTTTGGGAGGTTTGGTCCCTTGCTCTCAGGGTCCTCAGTCAGTCAACAGACAAGGCAAAGTTCAAAAAGGCTACTGAGGAGCCGGCCTCCCCATGGCCACCCTCTTCAGTTGTTCTGAGGCCTTCTGCCTGGGGGGATGCAACAGACAGACCATCAGAACCTGTCAGTGCTCATATTTGCCCATTAACTTGGCAGCCTCCCCATCCATCTCTTCTGCTAGACTTACTTTTTTTCAATGTATTTTGCTTTTCAAATTTTTTTTTTTTTTTTTTTTTGAGACAGAGTCTAGCTCTGTTGCCCAGGCTGGAGTGCAGTGGTGTGCTCTTGGCTCATTGCAACCTCCACCTCCTGGGTTCAAGCGATTCTCCTCCTTCAGCCTCCCGAGTAGCTGGGATTACAGGCATCTACCACCACACCCAGATAATTTTTGTATTTTTAGTAGAGACAGGGTTTCACCATGTTGGTCATGCTGGTCTCGAACTCCTGACCTCATGTGATCTGTCAGCCTCGGCCTCTCAAAATGTTGAGATTACAGGTGTGAGCCACTGCACCTGGCTGCAAATTTGTTTATGAAGTTGATAGTCACATTTAAAAGCCCCATCCTTCAAACTTTGCTTAAATTTCTTTGGTTTTCAATGAATAAAGTCTTGCCATTTCAGTCTTATCATCAGTGATAAACTGTAATGCTCAGGTGGGAAGACCCAGACACAGAATCGAACCAAATCTTCCAAAAATGGCAAAAGCAGGAAATGACCATGAGATGGGGTAAAGGTTACGCTCTTACCTGCCTTCTCTTAACTAGGTAAGAGTGTAACGTCAAAGGAAACAGATCATATTTACTATCATATTTAATATTTTAAGTCTTTTATGTTTAATATATATGTGATCAACCTTCAATTCTTTTCTCACCAGATCCTCGGCCCCATAAGGTTAATGACTCAAAAAGCTTCCATATCTTTCATCTCACACCCCACATGGTATGCAGAACACAAAAGCACAGCGCTGTGTTTAGTGCTTTCCTCAGCCCTCGGTCACTGAGGCCTCTGTCCTGCACTTTGTGCTTCAAGGGTCATCAGTGGACCTCCCCCGGGGCAAAGAATCAATAGGGTCACAATGGGCGTGTGCGCTAAGGTCCCATTCTCCCCTTCTAGAACTAGCTCTGAGAAGCTTATACAGGTGGCTCAAGCCTCTTCCAGGGCCGTGTGCTCTCTTACCTGGCTTCACCTCTGGATGGCACAATGGGTGTGTGTGATCATAGGTTTTAGGTCTGGACACTGTTTTTGAGCAGAGGTGGCAGGCAGAGCTGGGGTATCTACACATGCACACGAAGCCCTTTATGGTGCAGCACAGAGTTTGGGCGTGGGAGGAGAAAGACAGCAGGCCCTGAGCTGGGTATCTGTCTGTACTTCTGCCCTCAGAGGTTGCACAGGTCTTCTGATGGCCATGATCACAGAGATTCCTCCAGAACAAGTCACTCATACTCCTACTTTATGCTAATAGCAAGACTGGAAAAATCCAGAGTTTGGAACAAGATTAAAGGAGGAAAAAGAGAAGCACGTCACTTGCCTCAGCTTCGATCTCATCGTACAGGAACTGCTTTTTAAACTTGGTCAGAGCATAGTAAGCACTGTCGTTGTAAAGATCCAAAGGGTAGAGGACATACCTGGAGAGGGAAAAACACAGCCGGCTGCTTACTAATGACCCCCCTAAAGGGAGACAGTTTTATACTTGCCTGGGAAATAGAAACAAGTTCAGAGTCAGGAAAAGACCATCTTTCAGCTGTCTCTGATGTTCCCAGTGCCTCCACCACTTAGGAACAACTTACTTTACAGTCGGACCAAAGAAATAAAAAGTTCGAGATGCAAATAAAACCAAGACTTGTAAACATTCATCTGGAACTAAAAGACATCAGGTGGCAGTTAAGAATATGAGCTTCCTGATCCTGAGATGATTATTTTCTGAGCATAGCTGTTATGAGGCTGACAAGACATAGGAAGGGCAGTTGGGCTGGGAGAATTTGTCTACAAGGCTGAGTTAAATGATTCTGTCTGGCCTGAGCTCTCCCCATGGTGGGGCACATGGCCTGGTTTCTTTCCAACTTAGTGCCTCCTTCTGGAAAGAAGGAGCTCCCTGGCAAACTGCCCTCCACTTGTACCCCAGGAGCCACCTGCTGGCCCAATCCTGCCTCTTACTCCATCATAGAAGGTTCTTTGGTTTCCAGGATATGGTCCGTTAGAATCCAGGGCATGGACATCTCAATGGGGAACTGAATTCGTCGGCCCATGGTTAACTCCAGGAAAAATTCTCGGAACCAGAGCTGGGAGAGGTCGCAACATTGCTGCAGGGCTTCTGAAAGTATAAGGGAAGGAGCCTTGGGTTACACTTAGCACTGAAAGACCTTAGTTCTTATTGTTTTTATTAATTTTTATTGTTATTGTCACTGTGTTAGGTACTTAGCAGGTCTTAATATTGATTAATAGATCCTGCTCTCTTTTACTTAAAGGCACACCTAACATCTACTTGGAAAATGGCATTTGTTAAGCTTGAGAGGCAGTGGTTGTGGGGTGGCAGGAGAGAAGGGGAGGCAGTGACATTTTAGAGCTTTAGATGCCCGTATAGTTCCCAACACCCTCCTATAAAGCCATTCTGGAAACCTGCAATCTAAGCATGAAAAGTACGCTCGTGACTGGGCACAGTGGCTCACACCTATAATATCAGCACTTTGGGAGGCTGAGGCAGGCAGATCACCTGAGGTCAGGAGTTTCAAGCCATCCTCGCCAACATGGCGAAAGCCCACCTCTACTGAAAATACAAAAAAAATTAGCTGGGTGTAGTGGTGCAGGTCTGTAATCCCAGCTACTTAGGAGGCTGAGGCAGGAGAACTGTTCGTACCCAGGAGGCAGAGGTTGCAGTGAGCTGAGATTGCGCCACTGCACTCCAAGCTAGGTGACAGAGAGAGACTCCATCTCAACAACAACAACAACAAAAGTGTGTTCAGTATACTTCATTACACAAACACAGTGTCAAGATAGGCCCCAAGTGCCCACTTTCAACTGGATTGTGGCTCCTTGACCCCTTATGTGTGTTAGTTCCTAGATCCCATGCAGTTTTGAGGTCTTGAAGGCCCTTCCCTGGCTACTCTCTAAAGGAGAAATTTGTACTGTTTGTTACAATGACTCTTTTCAATGCGGGCAGACATAAAACGACTCATGTCCCTGAGATACTACTCTTCCTCTGTCCTGGACATACATCTTTTTTTTTTTTTTTTTTTCTTTTGAGATGGAGTTTCCCTCTTGACACCCAGGCTGGAGTGCAGTGGCGCAGTCTCAGCTCACTGCAACCTCCTCCTCTCCCAGGTTCAAGCAATTCTCCTACCTCAGCCTCCCCAGTAGCTAGGATTACAGGCATGTACCACCACGCCCAGCTAATTTTGTATTTTTAGAGTTTCGTCATGTTGGCCAGGCTGGTCTTGAACTCCTGACTTCAGGTGATCCACCCGTCTCAGCCCCCAAAGTGCTGGGATTACAGACATGAGCCACGACACCCAGCCCATACCTCTTACTAAAAGGAAAGGAAGTGTGACAAACAAAGGATTGGGAAGTGGCTCGAGAGCCTCCCCTGCTGGCAGCAGCAAGTACTAATTAGTGCTCAGCTGTGGCTGAGTAGCAAAAGTCTAGCAACTATGTGTATGTGCATATTCCTGCTTTTGATCCCTCTCTACTAAGGACTTTATGACAAATTAGCCACAGGTATCTCCTGGACAACTTTAGCTAGGTCAGAACAGCTGAGTTGAGACTGGCGTTTCCTAACTCAAAAAGCCCAATGGAAAGTGTGCGTGTTTTTTCCTTGGTGGTGATATGTGCCCCTTACGGTCAATGATCACGTCCCTTTGCAGTGCCTGGCTTGGTGGTCTCAGTGGCTCTGAGAGCCCTCATCCCCTCCCCCAATGCCTTAGCGGGGGCGGGATGCAGCTCACCGCTGATGTTGAGCAGATGTGTGAAGAAGAAGGACTGTTTGTGAAAGTCCTCTATGGCGAGGACAATGGGTCCGTCGAGGCTGCTCCTCAGGGTCTTCTTGGAGCCGCTTTTGTCTGCAATGAGCGATTCAAGCATGGTCCGCACCATGTACAGCTTGAAGAAGAAAGCAAGATGAGAAGGTCAGAAGCTGGCCCTCTACCCTGGGGAAAAGGTTGCTTCATGTTGTATTTATTTATTTATTTCTGCAGGTATCTGCTTTTAAAAAGCACTGTCTTAAGGAAGCACCAGTTTAGGTTTGAGAAATAAATGCGGAACTGTGAAAACCTTCATGGCCAAACCGGGCCCCGTGGCATTCCTGGGCCAGTGGACCTGGCCACACCAGGTAGCTCCCTGCTCTGCTTGGCCAAGGGTATGTATATCAGAGGAGAACCTCATTACGTGTCACCCTGGAGTCACTCCCTGCTTTCCCAGAGGGCCACAGATGCCATGGGTGGAGCACTGGACTGGGAGTCAAAAGACCAGGGTTCAAGGCCAGGCACTGCTGCTGATTTGCTGTGTGACCTTAGGCAACAAAGCCCCCACTCTGGGCCTCAGTTGTCTTATGTAACATGAGGGGGTTGGACCAGATGCCTTCTCACACCAGTCCCTTTCAGCACTAACATTCTGAGGAACTGAGAAATGGGATAAAATCAGAATGAGCCCCCTCCCACACCTGTTCCTGACCCTCAGTGTTTTGACCCCACTGCTGAGTGCTGGCGCCCCCTTGGTGGCATGAGCTGCATTGCACAG